ATAAACAAAATAAATAAATGAAACAAAATAAAATATATAGAAGGATAGAGATGTTGGGCCTGAAATTAGGGTGTCAATAGCAAGAATTCTGGGCCCAAATGGAGGTCCATGCTGACTTTCTGGATCATGCGCATGTGCATTGATTTGGTCTATGGTGTGCTCTCAGTAGTAGGCACCAGATCTGGCCATCTGTCCATCTGACGCATGGGATAATGAGGGAGTATGATGGACGTCTGCCTTATGCACGCACTGGATTTCCTGAAATAAAATGAGAAAATAGCAAATGCTGGAGGCAGGGATCGAACCCCTGACCTCCAGCCTCTAACGCCTTGAAAACCTGTGTGGCAACCACTGGGCTATTGTGTATTTGTTGTACATAAAACATGCAATAAGAATAATATATAAAAAACCAAGCGTTAGTGGAGATCTGGCGCGAAATTCAGACAAGCCAGTAATGGAGTGACAACGCATCATCTCATTCCTATCTCTGTGGCTAAAACCTGAAATACCTATACCCACGGACAAAGTCCGTTGCTACAGGTCTGTGTGTTTCCAAAATCTTCTCCAGGTAATATAAACGACCATCAAGGCCATGGTTATAATCGTCTCCTTCTTCTAAACACAGTGGTACCCATTACTAAGGCCAATTGTTCCTGAAAATAAAAACCCTAAAACCAAATCCGAAACCATAACAATGGTGGATTTCGTTACAGACCATTAAAATGAAATTGAATAATGCCAAAAGTTTGCAAATGCTTCATAGGTTAAGAATATATCATCAATTCATGTTAACAATGCCTTAATTACAAGATGCAAATTCAAGAACAGGGATGTAATGTGAGGGACTTACAGCGCGTTTAGGGACCGGAACGGGCTTGTTCTGGATAGCTTTAGGTTCCTGAGAGTGCCAGGGAGCGATTGGGACAGATACCAAGCCTTGAGGATGCCTCTAACCACCAATTTGATCTCACACTTTTTGCTTGTTTTTTTCAAATTTTGTTCTTGCTCTGTGCCTGATTTCCAACCTTGCTTTTGATCTGCACGCAGTCCTTATGTATTAGTGAAGGGATTAGGGTTGCAAATTGCATCCAAATCTTCTTCTTTCAATGCTTTGGATATTGATTTGATACACTTTGAAGATCTTTCCAAACATGGCTTATTTTGAATCTTTTTGTGCACTCTAAGGCTTGGCATGAATTTGAATGATGCTAGCTGTAATTGGAACCTGAAACAAGCACAAAATCCCTTGTTATCAATGCTTTGGATTTTTATTTTATTTATTTAAATTTAAATCAAATTAATTCAAATAAAAATCAAAATAATTAATAAAAATATGATATGGACAAGTGGCAAGGGCTAGAGCACGTGGTCTATGTTGCCAACTCAAAACAAGTGAAAAAGATTGGGCCCATTTGGCAAAATTTAAAGTTTTGGGGATAGTTGATGTTTGGCAATTTCACAAAAAAGGTCAACTTCAATAATGCATAACTTCCTCAATTTTGACTCTTTGGAGGTGTTCTTGGACTTTTTAGAAAGGTTGATATGTCCTCTAATCAACCCTTTTTGTCTCATCTCATTTGGATATTCCATGCTCATTCATGAAGCTTTTACAAAAAATGTGTTTTTGTTGACTTTTCAAAATGACCTATAATGTCCAAATTCATAACTTCTTGTGAGTGCATATTTTGATCTTGGGAGATGAAGATGGATTGTAGGGAATTTCATTCCATTCAAAATGAGATTTTGATGGGTCATTTCTCATAAAGTATGAGAAAGTTATGCTTGGTCAAAGTTGAGTTAACTTTTCCTACAAAACCCTAATTTAACAACTTTTGAGTCTTGATGAATTGTGAGCAATTCTTGATGAATCATGATCAACCCTTGATCAAATGATGAAATATACTTCAAAATGAGGATGTTGACCAAAAATCTTGAAGTTTGACTGTATGTAGGTCACAGTTGACTTTTGCCCTAGCACTGTCGATTTTTGGACCTTTGAACAATTGACTGAGCAAACTTCCTCTGCAAGGCTTGAAACTTGACATGGATGATCTTGAGAACATATCAGGACATTGGTGAGCATTTAGGAACACTTGGACCCAAGTATCTTGATGCAACATGAAACCCTAATTTGGGGGTAGACTGCCTTAGGAGAGAGCTTGTCTTGGCCAACCCTTGGACTACCTTGAGCAACTTGAGAATCTTTCTTGCAATGTTTTGAGAAATATGGGAGGAAAAATTTTGGGGTACAACACTAAGTATCTCAGAGATTTGCTGCAGAAAACTAACATGTTGGAAGCCTGCTCTGTTAGCACTCCCGTGCAGTCCACCTGCAAACTCACCAAAACTGGGTCTGAAGCCTTTTCTGATCCTTTTCTGTACAGATTTGTGGTTGGTGCCTTGTAGTATGCCACCATCACCATACCAGATTTGACTTATGTTGTTAACAAAGTATGTCAGTTTATGTCACATCCTCTTTATTCTCACTGGAAAGTTGTCAAAAGGATTCTCAGATATTTGAAAGGTACTCTAAGTCATGGTTTATCTCTCACTCCTCTTTCCCCTCAGACTGTTCTCTCTCTTCATGTCTACTGTGATGTTGATTGGGCTTCAGATCCAGATGACATACAAAGTACATCTGGTGCTGCTATTTCCTTTGGAGCTAATTTAGTTCCCTAGTGGTCAAAGAAGCAACTTGTTGTTGCTAGGTCAGCACTGAATATGAATACAGAAGTTTAGCTCAAGCTATAACTGACCTTCTTTGGATACAGACACTGTTGCAGGAACTGTGTATTCAAATCAAGCCTCCTATCATACTGTGTGATAACCAGTCAGTTGTCCTATTAACTCATAATCCTGTTTTGTATTCCAAAACTAAGCATATGGAGATTGATCTATTTTTTGTGAGGGAAAAGGTTCTGACCAAACAAATTCGGATACTGCACATTCCTGGCACTGATCAGCTTGCGGATGTGTTGACCAAGCCCTTGGCTTTCACCAAATTCTTGGAGCTTATACACAAACTCAGGGTAGCTAGCTCCCCTCAGTTTATAGGGGGGTATTGAATACATAAGTAGCTTAGTCCCTATTTCTGTTTATATATTTGACTGGCAGCTATACGTTACAGTGTTCCCTAACCTGTAATAGCAGGTTACCCTTGATGTTGTATATAAAGCATCAAGGAGCCTTTTGCAACTAACCAAAAAAACAGAAAATAGAATAACAGAATTCTGTTACAGATGAAAAACTCTTTTCTTCTCTATTCTTCTTTCTAATAGCTTTTCCCAAGCTCCTTTTGTTATTTCTTCTTCGATTATCTTCTCAAACACATCACAATCCACACACTGGTGAATCAAGAATAACGCCTTGCCATCTTTCTTCCTCTGATCTTTGTGCGCAACTTTCTGGGCTTCCGTAGCATCTTCCTCCAGTTGTGACATTCCATCATTCACGATTTCTACAACATCTTGAAATCTGAAAATAACCTTCATTTGTGCCACCCATCTTTGATAGTTTTCACCTTTGAAAACCGGAAGATTTGCTGGAAATTGTGTTGAGGTTGTTGATCCGTTTGTCATTAGATTCTCTCTGAATCACAACCAGGCTCTGATACCAATTTGTTGGAACAAAAGATTCAAGAAAGATGAATATAGTGAAAAACAAGAAGAAGAAGAAGAAGAAGAAGAAGAAGAAGAAGAAGAAGAAGAAGAAGAAGAAGAAGAAGAAGAAGAAGAAGAAGAGAGATTGCTGAGTTAGTGTAACTAACTCTTTAAAACTGAAATTGTTATTTTGTTGCTGCAGTATATATGAATTACAAAGTAATGATCATTTATATAGGCAACAATGCCCAGACCCAAAAACAAACTAAAGTCGAAATAACAACTAACAAGAATTAACCAACTAACATACATTGTTCTATTAAAAAATGACTCAAACATATATTAATCAAATACAATAATTTGTAGTTTCAATTTAATTCGGTTTGCTTTTGCAATTTCGATTTAGTTCTCAACACTACTAATTAATAATTTACGATTTAGTTCTTAACACTCCTAGTTAATAATTTAGTTCTGAACACTCCTAATTAATATCCTTTAATAAATATTCACTGAGATAAGTTTAATTATTGTTGTATGAATATCATTAAAACAAAATTGTTTATAGTTGTGAGAGTGATTTAAATAATGAGTTGACTCACATTAAATTTTCTTATGTTTAACTCCTGCTGTCGAGATTGGTATCTCTTAAGTGGTGATCTGTATTTATATAAATGTTCTCTAAATTTTAAAATCTGTCCTAGTAAACTCTGAAGTCTAACTTTATCTAAACTTTTTCTTATTAAAAATTGTTTATTCTTAAATCTCAAATATTGTTTTAATTTTAAGTCTTTATTTATGAAGTATGATTCGGTCCTTCAATAGCTGGATGCTATCACAAACGGCAAAGATTTGAATCAACCGGATGTGGACCCATTCGGATACCAATTCACACTCCAATTATCAATGTCCACATTCTACGTATTCTCCATTTCGAACTTTAGCCTCTTCTACAGCATGCACCTTTGACTTTGTTTCCATTCGCACTCTATCTTTTCAACTCGTGGCTATGGAATCTATACTTTTCTTTCAACTTGGATTAGATTAGATCTCGGAATATAATAACTCAATATTTTTTTAATCAAATTCAAATAAAATAAATACTCTAGTCCAAAGTCCAACCAATAAATAAATAAATAAATAAAATAAAATAAAACTTGTATATTTTTCATTTCATAATAATTCTTTTTGCCGAATTTACACAAAAGTCCTTATCAACTCTTAAACGACTCATTCATTTCGGTCCACAAAAGTAAAAGTTGACTTTGATTTTGATTTTTTTCTCCCTCGAAATCTCCGTTCTTTTTTTCTTCGTCACCGTTACAGTTACAACGTAACTCCGTCAATAACTGCAAACAGCGGTTCACGGAAATCGTTCACGAAATTTCCAACCAACGCCGTCACTTAGTGAACCTGAGATGTGAATCCGGCACCGAATCTGGCACCGGCACCGGTTTCGGTTCCGAAGGTTGGCAAGTGTCGGTGCTCTCCCTCGTAGGTCACAAGAAGCATATTGGGATCATCTTGTGCCCTTTCCACATGCTTCCTCGCCGGACAACCTTTAAAGCTACTGCACTTGTAGTAACCACTGCAAATTCAAGATAATAAAATCAAGATCAATAACAAATTTCAACTAAATTTTGTGAATCTTGAACAGTTTTATGCATCGAAATTGACGGTAATCGGAGTAAAAAATTACCGTGGATAAGGTGAACCTTTAATAGGTTTTTGACCGTATTTCCTCCAAGAAAATTCGTCTGCTGGAATATCAGCGACCTTCGTACTTATCGCCGGAACACGGATTGTTCTCTTCACACGAGATTTCCTGAATCAGAAATATCAACAAGATATTTATCAAATTTCGATTTCAATTTATTTATTTTAATTAAGAATTCAGGATCTGAATTTGAGTCTGGTAATTTACCTTTTCTTAGAGCAATGGCAGTGACCAGACGAAGACACTTTACCGGAAGCGGCACCGGAGACAGTTGCTTCATGACACCTTTTCCGATGCGATGAAGCAAGAGGAGGCTTTCCAGATGAGATTATAGATGGACCTATTTTACCGTCGGAAACGCTTCCGTCTCCGGTGACGGTGATAGTTGAATGAAAAGAAGAAGTAGTGGTGGAAATACTGTATGCTTCTTTAGATTTAGAGTATTGAGAAACAGATAAATCCGTAGATGGATTAGGTTTAGGTTTAGATTTCAGATTCGGATTTGGATTTGACATAATTAGTTGAACTGGTTTAGCGAAATCAAGAGTTGTTGACTGTGATTGTTGATGATGATGAAGATTTAATTTCTCAGATCCAGGTTTCGATTGAGATTGTGAAGGTGCACGACGAAAACGAGCGTGACCGGTACGATTCAACAAATTTATAACCTGTTTGAACTTCGAAACAGTGAAATCAGTTATTTCTGTGCAATCAAGATCCAAACGGTTAAGTTGATTTGAGGAAGAAGACGAAGTTTGAGAAGAAAGCACTCGGATGAAATGCTCCATGCTTTTCAATCCAGCAGAAGCAGCTTCTTGTATAGCAAACTGTTCTTCCATTCTCATCTTCGGAATCATAACCGGATCTACAACCATGATAGAAAAGGAAAATACACCAAATTATCGTTAGAAATTAGAAGAAAGAAGAAAAAAAAGAGAGAGAGAAGAGAATTGGGTTTGGTTGAAGAAAGGGGGAAGAGGTTGGTTATAAAAGAGTGGGGATGAGAAAGTCAAAGAAGTATCGTCAATCGGACGGTACAGATTGGTTGGACTTTTATTATTATTCTCAAAGAAATGTAATATTTTATTTAATCGGTGAATTGAAATGCGACAAAAACAATGTTTACTTTAGTATGAAAGTCCAAAAGAGGAGTTGGTGGTGGGTCCTACCTTTATATTTTTTTTTTTCAATACGAAAGTCCAATGAAAGTGGCAAACCGAGAAAATTAATCAAATACTAGTGTCGATTTAAATAAATCAAATCTTTACCAAAACAATATATTATAAAACAACTCATACATAGCATATCTCCACTCAAATCAATATTTAAATTAACTAATATTGACCCTTTCATTTGAATAATAAAATAAATTCTTATCTTTTATATTGTAATGTTCTTTGTCTCTCGGTGGAGGAAGCAAACGAGAAAGTCAACGTTGTTGGACGTATGGTATTAGTTTCCTTAACGAATCAGCTACGTTCATTGTTTATAAATTACTACCTGTATTATATTTTGTAAAACATTGGGCCTTTGTTTCACATAATTAAAATTTGAAATTTATTTTAAAGAATTTTAAAAAAAAATATTTGGTAAACATTTTCATATTTCTAAGAAAATTATAATTTTAATAATTTTTAAAAAAAAGTTATATGAGAATAATTTTATAGAAATATGATAAGTTATGATAAATTATTATCTTTTTTTAAAAAAATTATTTTTAAAAATAGTTATTTTCAAATTTGTAATAAATATTGATATATTTATTTTTTATTCATGTATTTCTAAAAATCTTATGTATAAACTTGAAACAAATACTTCTATTGTTTTTTTACTCGTCTTTGACTGGTTTAGAATTTTATCCTTTACAAGTATTCTAGAATTTACTATATTATTATTTTTATTACTAGCAAAGTTTTGCTGAATTTATAGAGCACTTGCATATTTGTTAATAGACTATCTATTAAAAACAAATTCATATAATTTCGAATCAACCAACTTATCAAAATCAACATTTTACAGTATTAAAATAATATAATCACTCATTTCATACTAAAATATTATGATTTTTAATAATTCTATATAAAAAAATTAATAAAATAATATAAAGATTAGAAAGATTTTATATTAATAAATAAAAATAAATCTTAAAACACCTCTCTAACTACATTATCATATTTTTATCACTTGATCTTCTTTTTTTTTTAAATTCTTTCTTTCTCTTTCTTGACAAACTCCTAAACAAAGTGTTAACAAAAAATATGAAAATTAAAATTGGAGTTAAACATAAACATATTAATATTACATATCATTTATTAACTATATTTTATTGATCTTGTTTTAGATTGATCAAAATAATCTTATATTACTTGAAAATTGAGATTAATGATAGTTTATTAATAACATCTATATAAATTTTTTTAAAGGACAAAATTGTAAGCATTCTCAAATTCAAAAGTAAACAATATCTTGATTTCAACTTTTAATTAATTCAGTTTGTAAATGTCTTTATAAACATTTTTTAAATATCGTGAGACATATTTTAATATAGGGAATATCTAAAATCGACTCACCTATATTTTTAATAAAAGAAAACCTAAAGAACAATATGCATTCACCACTTTGAAAATTTAGAAATTGACTTTTTTTACATAAATGTTAAAATTTATTTTTATTTGTGAGTAGGCGCGTTCACGGTACTATTTTGATTGGTTTTAAAATAAAAACTTATTTGATTTAAAAATATATTTATTTTAGATTTGATTCGATATTATATGATTGATTTATAAAAATAAATTCTACCTAATTCAATTTTAGTAATTTAATTTGACCAATTTTTGAATATCAAAATTATAAATTATATTTTTTTTATTAATATTATTAAAATATTAATAAATAATATATTTGATATAATATATAATATATATAATATATTTAAATTTAATATTATAAAATAAGAATGATCAATTATAGTTTAAATTAATGAAATAATAAAATTAAATAGATTAAATTAAAATAAAAGTATAAATATATTTGAATAGTAAATTAACACAATATATATTATTAATAAAAATAAATAAGTATACAAATATATACACACTTTTTGAATAGGTTTTGAAAAATCAATTTGATATTTGATTAAAATCAATTTTTTTATAAAATGACATTCAAAAATATTTAATAATATTTAATTTTTTTACAATTTTCAATTTTTTTTAATAATTTTTATTTAAATTCGTTTAAATTTGAACAACTCATACTTGTTAGTAATAAAGGTGTTAACATCTAAGTTTTAAAATTAAACTGGTTACATGAGTTTTAATACTTATTTTTTATTAAATATATTACATTGATTTTGTTGATTTATAGTTACTAATTCAATTTGATATATATAATTCAAGTATAATACTTTATAAAATTAAAAAAATAATTTGTTGAATTATATAAATAAAATATAAAAAAATTACAATTCTTATATTAATATATTAATATTTAGGTCAAATACATCAATATTTTAATAATCTAAAAAGTAAATTTTCAATTGATTATTTTTAATATATTATATTATATTATACATCAAATATATTAATTTCTCAGATACTTATAATATTAATATTTATAAAATTATTTAGATAACTTAGAAAAAATTAAGTATGTAGGTTCTTCTCTTGATATTAATAAATATATATCATGACAATAGGTAATAAGGATTTTTCAAAACTAAAGAGGTTTTTTAGTGTTTTCTTATATTCATCGTTTTTTCGGAGAAAGAGTGTCAAAATGAATTTAGAAAGAAAATATTTGCTAAAAAATATTGGACATTTTTTATTTAGGAGAGATCCTTCTATCCTTTGGGATTGATAGCTAAACAACATTTTGTTTGCAAAGATAAGTTATCAGTTGTTTCCTAGATATATTTATATTAAGATCAAGAGTTATATTTACCTACTTAGTTTTACCTAAGATAGCTAATCAGCTACAACATCCTTAGTCTGTCATATTTATGAATTCTGACGATGATAATCATCAAAATTGTTTGATTAAACATGAAGAACTTATGGAATATCCCAAAAAATTGGATAAACTTAACAAATAGACAATTCCATCAGTACCTTCAAACCAAATTTATAAATTTGGTAAAATATATATATTATCTCGTTTTGCTGTTAAAAGCTTAGAACAAACTATTCAAATTTCTAAAAGTACTCAGACAATCAAACTTTTAACAAAAAGTATTTACTTCCTTTTAAAAATTATAATTCTATCCATGTTGATTTAATACAAGTTGTTGTTAAACCTTTAACTTTGCTAGGATTAAATACTAGCATCCTGGGATATATTAGAGATGATAGATGTAAAGATTTTAAACAAACTTTAGATGTTTTAATTGAGACAAGCCTGTGTCATAGTCCAGTTTATTTTGATGTCTCTCCCAATATAAACGTATCTATGTCTGATAAAAATTTATTAGATGCTCTTCAATTAACTATTCATACCAATGGTTATAATTATAAACCTCGAAGTGAAATTATGGCTATATGTTACATGATTTATTACAAAGTTCTTACCACTTTAAACTCTAAAGTTAAACAAATATCGTTTCCTGAAACTACTACTTTAGTTAAAACTAATTTATTAACATCTAATGTTGCAACTAATTGGTTGCTAAAATGGGATGAAATTAATTTTCCAGAATCCTGGAATCTTCCTCGGGCCATAGAACCTGAACCCATCTTTAATAAGGATGTTGATCAAATAATCTAGACTAATGAAGGAGATTTGGAGATAAACTTTAACTCCAAAAGAATGATTAGAATAACTAGACCTATGTCTAGAATATATTATGTAAATTTTATAGATGAGTTTTACACTGCTTCTAGTCAATTAGTTAGACCTTCAACTTCTCAATTAATAGAAGAAATAAAATTCGTTGAGAATAGACTTAGCCAAAACAAAATTCTCCATGGTATATATCAAAAACCAAATCCTGCTAGAGTAGAATAACCTACTCCCTTAGATATGAACTTCCCGTTATAATGTTAGATTATTCCCCAGATAGTAATCTAAGAAACTTTGTCAATGGCGAGTTTCAACATGAAAGATACGCTCAATTTAGAAAATGGTTTTTTAAAACTTTTCCTGCTCCAGTGTTAGCTAGCTTTAAGGATGAGTACTATACTCAGATATCTATGAACTAAGATTTCATTCCTTTTGTCAAATGTTTCATTAGTTACTTTATAAGTAAACAAAAAGAAGAGTTAGTTTTTATGAAACAAGACGAACTTTTAGTTCTACAAAAACCATGGGAAAATATCAAAGGAGAAAAAATGGAATCTCCTTTTCCCCCAGAACAAACCATAAGTTTGGGTCCTCATACTGAGGTTACACCTTATCTTACGCTTCCATTACAAAGAGTTGAACAAAATCAGATTACTCTTAAGGAGTTAAATTTCATAATTAAATCCAATGATTATACTAATGCCTACCTTGTTTGTTTAGGAGAATAATTTATTTCTCTAGAAAAAGAGCTCTTATCCGTAAAAGACCTTTTAGACAAACAAATAGCTCGTCAAAAGATTATTATTGACCTTATTAATAAGTCTAAATTTCAGGAACAAGATTCTACCTCCAATATTTCAGATGTTCCTATAATTCAACCTCCTATTCCTATAAAAGGATTTAAAATGGAAACCAACGAAGATGAGTTTGTCTGTATTCTTGAGAAAAATCTTAAAGATTTTCATTTAACGGTTATGTCTAATCAAGACTCTTCTAATGAAGAAGACATTAATGATTTAGAAAATATGTTTGCTGACTTAGACATTAGTAATCAAAATACTAATGAAATAAACCTTATTTATAACGCTAAGCCTATGGA